ATATAATTATGTGTTATATCACATGCTTTGTATTATATATATTATATCATCCTAATTATATTGGTATATATAGTATTATGGTTACTATATATTTTATTATATATTGCTATATTGCATATTATGTCATAATATATGATATTACAGTATATTGTATTACTACTATATTATTATAAATTATTATGTCATATATCGTTTTATATTATATTACGTTATGTTGTATATCATATTCTCAACCTTTTAAGCAACGTAAACGTAGCTATGTATCCCTGATGCTTTTTCTACCGAGAAAAACCCTTTCCCACAGCTTCTGAAATGCCTTTCAAGCATATTTTTGAACTTTATACACAAGTTAAGTGCAGGCACAGCAAAATAAATCATTTTTTATTAGGTCTTTGTTTCGATCAACAAATTGACGGTTAAATGTGCATGCCTTTTTGTTCCCAATTCAGTTTGGACTTTTGGCGGTCGACCTAACTGTTTCAGGCCAAAATCGATGAAATCTTAAGAACCATTCAAAGCTCAACCTTTGAAGCTGGTTGGCTTCCGCATTTTCCGCCTCACCTGTGGGGGTTCGCAAAGACATTTGTTACGATTTTTGGCCGTGTTTCAAACTAAACAGAATGGAACGTTTTGCAAAAGATGTATCGATGTTTCGGAGCAGGCAAACTTCAGCTAGGGCGGTCTTCAGTGACATGCAAAGCGGACCTTGTAGAATTAAAACAAAAGAAATTTCGTTTTTTTGTACGCGGTTGCGCGGTAAAACGGGCAGCCAGTTTTTCATTGCTCCTTGACCTATTTTCAGTGTGGTTCGTAAATTTGATGCAAAGACAGTTGTACTCGTAAAGGAAACTACTCACAAGGTTGCTGAAAACTCTTCGACAGCTCACGACCGGTTTCGCCCTTCTTGGGGCTCATCAGGTAGACACAGTCCCCGAGTTTCCGTCAACCCAAATTGGACTGTTTTCGAGAAATACACTCATTTGCAAATCAATTTGGTTTTCATGAGAGACTCTACTGAGTCGATCTCTCGTTTATGTTATTCAACAACTGGGTGTACTGCACACAGGCCGCCTCATGTTTCAGTTGGCACGATATTCGAGATGTTGCACTGTATATTTTCACAAAGGAAACTACTCACAAGGTTGCTGAAAACTCTTTGGCCATGTAGAGACGAAAAATTTCGGTTTGTGCGTTCGAACGGTGCATTTTTGGGTGAAACCGTAAGCAGTATTACTAAGGTATTAGAAAGATTGCGACAGGGTTGATACAATGTGGTTGAGGGTCGCTACTGGATTGTTGACATCACACACGATCGAACGGTCCTCTTGGCGCAATTCATCCGGGGAGTTCCCACCAAAAATGAGGGCGTCGGACTCGAGATTGGTTGTTATTAGAACTCACAAGCAGTGCCTGTCCGTGACGGATTGTCTAATCCGCACAAGTGACATGCGAGTCAATCGTGTTACCACTACTCCAACAGCTTACATCGTTGCCTCATCGATCTCGGCCACACCAGGACATCTGACAGGTGAGGTGAGTGTGGGATCACGAGAATAATCGCGTGCAGATAGGATGAGTACTGTTAACACAGATCTCGCAGCCACCAGCAACCAAGACTATCGAGCGAGCGTCCGGAGCGCTACCTGACTGGGTAGTCTCGATCAATCGACACAACCAGAGTAGTCGGGTATCACTCAAGCGTAGTGGCAACTTCGATGCTTAGAACGTCAGGCGCCCGGATTTTGAACCCTTGACCACCGAGGATATGTGCTACTTATAATCGTTGATAAAAGCAAGCCCAATGCGTACCCATTTCAAGGTAGGCTCACCAGAATAGTGTGAACGCGATAACATAGTTTCTTTAAATCTGAAGCTCCGAGTTTCGCTTCTGATGCACTTGATAAGATCCACTTTTTTCAGTTTTTTTTTTGCATAAGAATCGCTAATACGAACAGTTGTATCGCTCCCTTCTTTTCAATCATCAGCTTGAAAGAAAAACTGTGCCGTTTCGTTCACAATGAACCATCTTCAGTGTGCAAAGTCCATTTCACTGGTTTTGTGTGTGATGTACATAATGTCATGTACTTCTATCGATATCAAGGACATGTCTTTGTTCGTCCTGTTTGTACAGCAGTTCCGGGCGCCACAGTGTTAGCTACACTCCTATTTGCGTCACGTTTTCCCCTCGCAACAGACAATGATGGGAACACTTGGGGAAAAACTGTCGCCACAAGTGGCTTTAACGCTGATTTCGACTCGGCATTAATTAGGAGCATCTGCGCGCAAAAACCCCGAGGAAAGGACACGCTGTAATCAATGACACACGATATGGGAGAGTTTACAGCTGCTTTTTCAGTGTTTTCTCTGTGCGACTTATGCGTGATCGCCCCCTATATCTAAGGCCTTTTTCAAATTAGCCTGTTCATATATGCATTTTTTTCTGAAACCTGTGTCAAGCGAGATGAAATTAGGAAAGCGGAGATAAAATTAGGAATTCACACGCATACTAACACAGTGTGCCCCGCAAAAATATCTGTGCGTTTTATTGCGTAATGAAGTTGAAAGTTTTCACTGAAAAGTTAAACTCCATTTTATCAAAAAAATGCATCACTTGGCGATTCTTTGACAATGCTTTCTTATTTCGATGGATTTTTATTTCTTGTCTGCACCTTGAACACAGCTTTCACATAGTTGACTGATTTTGTCCCCCAGAGACTTTTGGTATTATCCAGCCTTGCTATTGTTGATATTTAGCATAGTATACTACTAACATTTTACAGCAGCGTATGTGACGGACCAAAAATCATTTTGTACCCGTCAAATGGCGCGGTCTAGTTTCAACTAGTACTCAAGTGTCAGTAAATTCCCTTGGGTCAATTCGTCTGTAAAGTAAAAAAACTTTTTTCGGATGACAGATAGTACAAAAAACAAGACGGGTTTCAGCAAGTTCCCCTGAGTAACCTAGAAAAGACTGCATCCTGATGATTACAGGTTGTGAATACTGATCTGGGTGGATACTGCGGCTGGTCACGTTGGGGACCTTGGTAGCCACAATTTGGTCAAAAAAGAATTTCAACTAAAACCGAAGTGAATGGTGAAAAATTAAAACGGGTGAAAACATCAAGACAAGGCCCTCATCCAGTCGAGATAAACCAGTTTGATATGCACAGGTCACTTGTATACGTGACTATCAGCAGTTACCATTTATAGTAACCTCAGTGAGAGGAAGAACACCCTTCACTGTGGAGTTGTTTATCGATAAGTTACAAGCGAACAGACACAAAAGTAAAACCTTATTTGATTACGGTAAGTAAAACGTGATCAGTCTCAAGCGTTCCTCTGGACTTTTCCAGACATTCTTTGAATAATAAACGAACATTGCGAATCAAATCCATAATTTCCGTCATTTTCCAACAGATGCGGGTCTGCTACACGCCACTTCCATGCTTAGTTGGTAGTATACGACGTTACGACGGTGTAACGGTGGATACTACTGATGAGGCATGTGAGTAGTATGTTCTTCCGTAAATCCGCTACACGTCTCTTGAAAAGTGAGATCTATTAAGGAATTTTTGGAGTCGCATCTGTTTGCATTTGAGTAGCAGTCAATGCGTACCCAGGAAAGTTCAGGAAGACGCGTTCAAGAGAAGATGGATGTTCAGTTTTTGTAAACAAGATGCATGTGAGAGTTTTGCTTCCCTGTCCAATAGTCTGTAGCTGTTCAGTTGGGGTTATCCAATAAACAACTCCCCAGCAAAGGCCTTCTTCATCTTACATTGTCTCTTGTTATCAACCACATATCCACTTGTCCATTTGCGTCCGTAAAGCGTAGTCTTTCATTCGTCCTGTTTTAGGGCCCTGTAGCTAAGTTTGAAATTTGATACCTTTCTTCTCAGAGCGAGTGCTTACTGCCACACGCCCAGTTAATCAATGGAACAACATGCCATCCTCTCATAATCCGATAATCTTGTTTGCTCAGTCATCTGAGCAAGAGGAACACACATGTTTGCGGGGAACCGGTCACAAATGTTATTTTAAGGACTCTATACTTGGTTCTGGGGTGTCAGCATCGAGTTTAGTGCATATGTGGTCAACTTTTTTGGGTCTTGTGTACACCCTATTGATCGCGAAGACTACACATAATTTCGCTCTGAAACGAAGTCACTGGACAGAGTACGGGCATGTGAATGATCGATGCAAGCAGCTGATAGTCACGGCCTGCCCATGGGTCCTGCTCATCTTCGTGAGAAACCGCAGGGTACGTCACTGTACGTAAGGCCTCTTGACTTCCCCACATGGTACGAGGAGCTTTCCGGATGCTAGCCTGCACCAGGAGTAGCGAGGCAAAGCCACACTTTTGGCCGCTAGACCCCGTCAGTCAGAAATTCCTCAACTTATGGTATACAGGGCCGTTGATGAACTGCAAATCACAATGTGTCGTGTCAGTTTGATACAAAAAAGTCTGCACAGCGCGCAAGCTGACCTTTGCACTGATGCACCAAAGTGCACTTTTACACAACCCGAGAGGACTGTTTGTTCATTGGTGTTTATGTCACATTTTCAGCTTGGTGGTTGGACAGTACTGATTTATCGAATATACACTCATTTGCAAACTAATTTGGTTTTTCGAGAGACTCAACTGGAGCCCAGCTGGATCTCTCGTTTGTGATGTCTCCAGGCAACTGAATGTGCTGCACCAGGCTGCCTCATGTTCCAGTCGCTACTATATTCGAGATATCGCGATACATGCATATCTTTGTAATGTACTACTCATGGGGTCGCTGAAAATCCGTCGACAGCCCACGACCGATTTCGCCCTTTTTGGGGCTCATCAGGTAGCCGCAGTCCCCGAGTTTCCATCAACCTTATGTTCTACTTGAAACCAAAGTGCACGAAATTAGCGAATATACACTCATCTGCAAACTGATTTGGTTTTTAGAGTAACTCACCTGGAACCCAGTTGAATCTCTCGTTTGTGATATTTCCAGGCAACTGATGAGCCCCAAGAAGGGCAAAACTAGTCATGAGCTGTCAACGAACTTTCAGCAACCTTATGAATAGTGCATTACAAGGGCTGAGTTATCATCGCACACTCCAAGAAATCGCTGAGGCGAGAGAAATCCAGGAATCAAGCTTTGGTTACTTCCACTGTTCCCACTGCTAGGCGTCTTAGAGAGCTGATCAGAACCTGCATCCTCACTGTTAGGTCACATTTTTGCGGTGCCCCCGCTGCCAACGTATGCTCACCTAACGTTTTGTTGCCGCTCATGAGTACCGATAGTACGGAACGTTTATAATGACAGCTTATCCTGCCACAACAGCTGTTCGTCGTGAATTAGAGCAATGAGGTCAACGTCGGTTTTATTATGAAGTCATCTGGTCTTAAACCTGTCCCTATCTGCAAGAACCAACATTCACGAGGTATCGAGGAGTAGAGTCGTATGGACTTGAGCAAAGCGTCAAAAAAGGTTACCCCTCGTGTTCCACGACTCCCCCTCACCCAGAAGAGTACATGTGACCCAACATTGAAGTACGCTCTTTATTGAGGCTTTCACATGATGCCCGTCCAAGCAACAAAGTTTTCTCCGTTGATTAAAATATTTTCTAACAATCCATCCTTTCTTTTCCTTTTCATGTTTTTCTCGTCTCTTGTCTCCTCACTGTGAGAAATTCAGTTGATATACGTGATCAAAAAATTTACCCCGTATTGTTAGTTTTTGGATTTTGAGAATAAAACCCCATTAAGGAATGCAAGGTCACCTGAATCCCAGTTGAACTTCTCGTTTATAATGTTTTTTCCCAACTGAATGTGCAGCACCAGACCGTTTCACATTTCAGAGTACAGTGTGTGCACATAGCATACTACTCACGAGGTTGCTGAAAACTATTCGAATCTTGTCCCCGGGTGACCTTGTCGCTTGCTCGGCAATGTACATTTATTGTTCAAACTAGTTTGGATTTTGAAAGAAAGGTTTTCTGGAAAGTGAGAAAACCTACACCTGTGAGTACCGGGAATAGAATACGCTAAATTCGTTCTTATTGGCACTGCAGAAGCAAACAAATTTTTCCAAAGTTGATCGGTTCGCACACAAACACGTCTAGTCTTCAGTTTTACAAGAAATGTTTCATCTCACACCGGAGGAATTTGCTCACTGCATGTGTTCAATCAAACTGGTCTCTAGATTCACGCAAGCCCACCCACAGCGAACATGAAAGGATCGAACGACCGACACCGCGTCAGCGAAAAAAGACACAGCTGAGATCTGACGAACCCAGACACGCGCTAACGGTTCTTTTGCAGTGGTGTCCATAAAAGACCGTTTGGACAACAGGATCCAAACACGTGCAAGTTTCTGTCACACGTAAACTCGTCGGTTGACGTCATTCATCTCAAAATAGATGCATTTTCACGAAGCGAAATTCCTGGAAGAAGGTTGAAATCCACATACCTGTTTGGAGCCATTTAAAGGACGCCGCTTGGAAAGTGTCACTCCGGAAACGTGTGTCCGCAGGTAGAACAGTTTTTCAGGAGGAAAAGGATACTGTGAAGATAGATAGATAGATAGATAGATAGATAGATAGATAGATAGATAGATAGATAGATAGATAGATAGATAGATAGATAGATAGATAGATAGATAGATAGATAGATAGATAGATAGATAGATAGATAGATAGATAGATAGATAGATAGATAGATAGATAGATAGATAGATAGATAGATAGATAGATAGATAGATAGATAGATAGATAGATAGATAGATAGATAGATAGATAGATAGGTAGTTAGATAGATAGATAGATAGATAGATATCCTGTGATCGAAGGATACCATTCTTCCCAGTTTCAGACTTCAGGAAAACCCGTGCATTGCCAGAGAAAAAAAGCGGATATATTACCAAGTTGCGCGCCCTAAGCGCATCTCACGTTCTTTTTTTTATGTTTGTTGCTGTTTTAGGGTACAATAAATATTGTGCAATAAACGTGGTTAACTGACAAGGCTGCATGAGATCCCGTTGACAGGCCCTGCCGTTTCTCTCCGTGTAGTACCATTACAAACCAGATAAAGGAAAGCCAATATTTCAAATTCCACGGGGTTTTTAGCGGCCTTACGCTTTTCGGCATTAGTGTGCCGTGGTTAAGCGGTTGTCATACCGGTGAAATATGTAGTTGAAGCTGTATATTCATTTGGAAAAAAATAGTTACTATGTAAATAGCCACGGCCGAACGCTTTTGTTCTGTGGGTGGTCTAGTGCGCAACGGCAGTTAAAGTTTGTTTTGGCACTGCCGCAAGGAAAACGATTACACATGGTTTTCCACTCTGTGCAGAGACTCTCTCCGACCAGGGTGCAAGATGGCACGACAGAAGAAACCTTCAACGCGAAGCAAGAACCGCTGCTAAGGTCGTTGGCCTTGAACGCCTTTTGATTCAAGGTCATCCGGTATCGATTATCTATGCCTCAGATGTGCCGAGCTAAATATAGGCTATATGCGTATATCGATCTCTCAATCGAGGGGCCGAGTGGACGTAAATAACCATCACTTCTGGTTCTTTTCCCTATAAATCATCAAGTCAAAGGGCTGCAAATAAAAGATTCGGTTGAGAGACCAGCTTCCGGATGGCTTTTTCATCTGCCGTTTTTTAAAAGCCCGGCCATTCGTGAAACCACGACTTACATTACAGGAGAACACAGGTATTACCATATGTTATTACTGAGTCATCTTTACCCACTAAGAGCGACTTCCGAAACCCAAAGAAACGGCACAGTGATTGTGGAACATCGGAAACGAAATGTTTGTCACCTCTATCTCTCCGTTACTGAACTAAGCTTCACTTCAAGGAATGGTGATTGAGTATGAGTGTTCAAGTCAGAGAAATATGCTCTTTTCAATTCTGCGTTTCCGCCAACCTTATGTCCTAATTCAACACAGATTTCACACAATTACCGAACTGTACTTAGTTGCATACATAAAGTTCACGAAAACTCGGGGACTGCGCCTACCTGATGAATTTGAAAAAGAGCGAAAGCGGTCGTGGGCTGTCGAAGAGTTTTCAGCAAACTTGTGCGTAGTTTCCTTTATGAAAATATACTGCGATATCTTGAATATCGTGCCAACTGAAACATGAGACGGCCTGTGTGCAGCACATTTAGTTGTAAAAGATCTTAAACGAGAGATTCAACTGAGTCTCCCGTGAAAACCAAATTGATTTGCAAATGAGTGTATTTCTGGGTTCAAGTAAAACATAAGGTTGACAGAAACTCGGGGACTGTGCCTACCTGATGAGCTCCAAGAAGGGCTAAACCGGTCGTGGGCTGCCAAACGATTGTCAGTAAACTTATAAGTAATGTATTACGTCTATGCATCTATCACGATGTCTAGAATATCATGCTAACTGAAGCATAAGGTGGCGCTGTGCAGCAGTTTTAGTTGCCTGGAAACATCAAATTAGTTTCTGTGTTAGAAAATGGATTGCAGGCCAGTGTCTTGTGCTCTGTACTACGAAACAAAATTTCAGCTGCAGACGCTCACTGATCGGCCCTATTGATCAACACTTATTTCGAATCAGAATCATCTATCGATCAAGCTGGTCCTTGATAAACTGCGTAGCTTAGATCGATAATAAGACATGGTTCTCGACAGTTCCGTTTCCCGTAGCACGGACAGTTGGTCTAAAACACGAATCTTGTGACCACGAGGAGGTAAAGTGCTTCGAAATACCTGTCGAATGTTGTGCTTAGAGTAGTTCGTTGCCGATATCAACCGTTTGTGCCCCTTCCACCATTATACATCAAAGCCACCAAACAGATGGGCTACCGGGGCCTTTCGTACCATCGTGTTCCTGTAAAGGATTCCACTAGCTTCTCGGTCACGGAGGTAGGACTGACTTCTTACCTTCCTTCCAAAAAAACTGGGCGAATATCTGCTGGCAAAACTCATCGGTTGCCAACCACTGCAAATAGACGGGTCAAGGTTTAAATCAATAATTTTTAAATGCTGGAAATTCGTGGGAAACGGAGAAATTTCGTGCTTCGGTTCCTTGGTCTATCAATCCGGGCAATTTGCTAACCAATAGAAATCGTTGGGAAACTAGAAGCATAGTTAAAAGACTGACGCAAATTGCCAGTTCGATTTGCGTCACTCATAACGAAAACTGAAGCAGGCTTTTCCGCCGTGGTTCAGTCGAGATTCAATAAACCTTTCCACCAAAAAATTACCGTTCTGGTGAGAATATCCCCCCTTCCGTTGGGTGACTTTCCTGTTAGTAACTCCGCCATCTACCCAGCAAATAAAAGTTATTTAAATACCAAATAAAAGGAGTTGAAACGTGAACAAAAGCAACCTGATCGCTGACTTATCTGTTACTGCATACTCCATAAATTGAAAAGTTTCCGTTCCGAAATTCCACCGTTATATTGTGTCGGTTACTTCACTGTCCGAATGGAGAGTTGTCTCGTCTTGAATGACGTTCTAGTTCGGTATAAACCCACGAAAAATTATTTCGAAACCTTCTAAGGAATGCGCGCTTCTTGAACCGATGCTGGCGTTCGCAACTGCTACGGAATTTCCTGGATGTATTCTTGGTGTCCAAACAGATTTTTGTATACTATCACGTCCTTCCGCTTGATAGGACTAGGAACTGTTTATACAACATAAAATGTAACGACTATATGAAGGTTTATATAGGTTAGACAGAATCGGTGAGCGTAAGAGCTCCATTAACAGACCGCCGAGAAACGCAGAGGAATGCCAGGCGTTAGTCAAAGATTCAGGAATGGCAGTGCATGCTCTAGACACTGAGCATAGGATAGATTTAGAAAATGTGGACATCCTGAGACGCGGTTTAAGATTCACACCACAGCGACTGGTGGCCGAGGCGGTGGAAATCGCCAAGCATCCCAGTGTGAATGGAATAGAGGGAGTAGAACTGGCAAACGTCTGGAGAGCGGTCTTAGATCAGCCGAGATGACACGAGGCGGTGTGCAGCGAAATGGCCAGGGTCTAAAAGTACAACATCCAAGTAGAGTTAGATCAATCAACCAACCCACCCCCATCCCCAAACCAATTGTCCCAGTACCCTTGGACGAACACAGGTGAACGACCCCAAGGGGAATTTTCCATTAAGGTGTCCCAGACTGAAGAAGGAAGGACGAAAAATCCGGGTTCATCATAAAGATGAATCCCCCTAACCAATCGATCGTAAATCTTAGTCATCCCCACTAACCAACAAACAGTATCATCAGACTGAACACCCAGCCCTAATCAAGTCGGCCGGTCATGAGAAATCTCACGGATTGGTTTCCTGACTGCCTTAAAACCCAATCAAGTAGATCATAAGGTTGACGGAAACCCGGGACTGCGCCTACCTGATGAGCCCAAAGTGGAAGGGCGAAACCGGTCGTGGGCTGTCGAATAGTTTTCAGCAACCTTGTAAGTAGTCTCCCAATCAACTCATTTACGGACTCACATGGCCTGACGAAGCGTTTGTGTCAAAAGCAAAAAGTTGCCCAGCAATAAATCCACCGATTGTTTAGGAAACCTCTCTGAAACGTTGGGTGAATTGTCTGCACTCCTCACCTAGGTAACCCAATTGTGGTGGAGGAAACTGAATTTTGTTGAAACATCGCATCGTTCCTCCCTATCCAGGGTGGAGTGAACTCCTACGACCTGTCACGTCAAACAGGTAGAACAGATGTTCTGCGATTCAGAGCTCAGAACGCAGGAGGAACCAGTGTCCCAGTCTTGTTGACACACAGCATATTATAGATTAATGAAGGTAGACTAGAACGAGCCAAAAAGCGAACAGTTTTTCGAATATACACTCATTTACAAACTAATCTGGCTTTCGAGGGACTCACCTGGGACCCAACTGAATCTCTAGTTTGTGATGTTCTCAGATGTTTTCATTACAAAGATATACATGTATCGCGATAACCCGAATATCGTAGCGGCTGAAACATGAGGCAGCCTGGTACAGCACATTCAGTTGCCTGAGAACATCATAAACGAGAGATTCAGCTGAGTTCTAGTTGAGTCTCTCGAAAGAACCAAATTAGTTTGCAAATGAGTGTATATTCCCTAGTTGCGTGCAATTTGGATTCAAGTAGAGCATAAGGTTGACGGATACTCGTGATGTCTGTATAAACAGAGTGTTCCCTTGGAACCAACTCTTCTCCGAGTTATGCTCGTGCGGACTGTCCGACACACTGCCACCTGACTTCTATCTGTACACCACAAACTTATCTTGGCCTGAGTTTATTCCACGAACCTCGTTTCCTTCATCGAACTAAACAACTCCACTGTTTCTCATCCACCCTGCTCAAGCGCCACGTGTTGTGGAGGACTGTCTGCATTTGAAAACCCAAGGCACATACAATACCAGAAATTTGAACATGGAGTAAAGTCGAGGCCAGATAGAGGAACTCGGTATGTTGTTGCTGCAACTGAGTAGATTTGTCACTCTGATTGGTCCATCCTTTCGCCACATCAACTTGGTCAAAAACCAACTAAATTCCACCGTCGCCGAGCCTCCATGAACGATAGTTCAGTATGTGATTCCTCATCTGAGTTCCTCAGCTTTCAACAGTCACTTGTGTGGGCGATTTTTGGAGTTGCGTTCAGCGTGTTATCTGAAACTTGGTCTTGCAGACACTGCGTACAACCTTACTGAGCTTCATTGTTTATCGATCCAAGTTTGTGTAAGCCCCATATGGATTACCGTGGATCTCCCTGGTCTCAAAGTTGGTACATCGCTTCATCACTTTGTCTGTCATACCCCAGCTAGAGGTTTATATCAGGTAGGCTGTTCTGGGGGGGAGGTTTTGTGGAACGAAGAGAGAAGCCTTCACATTCCCCTGTCTCTGCCTTTCTGGAATGATCTTAAGCAATTGAGCTCAGGTAGCATTGACTTACCTAGATTCATGCTTGATCTCATTCGAGTAGGCCACTCAACTTGAGCATCTGGCTACTTTCAGCGTGAGCACTTGATATGACCACCCATACTTCTATTGAAAACAAGACAAATGCTCCTAAATCAAGTTAGTTTATGTACATCAGAAAATAGAATGAAGCTTTCAGGATTGGTTGTCTGTCAACATCCGACTACGACTGTATTGATGACGCGACTGAGGGGGAGGCATGCGAGTAGCATGTTTTCTTATCGTAAATTCGCTTTGTGTCTCTTGAAAAGAGAGACCTGTTGCGGAATTTGTGGAATTGAGCACCGGTCAATGAATATCCAGGAAAGTTCAGGAAGACTAGTTCAACTCAAAGATGGATGTTCGGTTTTTGTAAACAAGATGAGTATGAGAGTTTTACTTCCCTGTCCAATAGTCTGTAAGTGTTCAGTTGGCATTTTCGAATAAATAACTCCGCAGTGAAGGCCTTCTTTCTTTCCACGACTACCGTCCAACTGTGTGCGTGCTTACTAGATTGTTCAGGTAGACGCTAAGGCACTGGGCTTTCCGCCAGCTCATGGAGATCAACGGCACCTCATAGGCTCAGCCGAAACCATCATATCTGCTATTTAGGAGGCGCACACCGCTGTTATTTCGTTGAAAAAGGGAGCTGACAAAAAAACGTTCACGAGTTTTACGGCACATGACCAGCGGATGTTGAGTCATTGCTATAAATAGCAGTGCAAAGGATATTTACAATCTTGTACAGGGCTCCTGAGGCCAGGTATTCTCAATCTCTCGCACACACCTTATCGTACTCGGGGGGGGGGCGGGGTTTGACACTCCAAAAGAACCTCTCCGTAAACAGAAACACCTCTCTAGGGGACCGGTTAAGACGGGTTCGTGGAGCATTTCATTGCTGCTAGAAGTTGATCGCGGGATCAACCGTCCCGCTGGGTGCAAGGAGATTTTGTTGCTGTTATCGAAACAGAAAAAGGCTTTCGAGAAGCTGGCTTTGAATACACAGTCTCCTGGACGGGGGTTGATTTCTCCGTCCGATCGCTTAAGAAGCTACTCAGAGCAAAGACGTCTTTTAATAGATCTGTGAATACATGAGGGGCCGGCTTCTAAGGCTTTGTGCTGTCCTGTCAAGCGAGATTCTGACTCAAGGCGAGGTGGCGCGCGTTCCCCGACAGTCTTTTGCAGGTGGACAAAAGGAATACACTCAAAAACAAAAAATATAAATTCGTAATTCAGAACAACATAATGAGGGTAAATTTGAAGTTTTCAGACAACAATTCAGTAGCCTTTATCCTGGTAACCACACCCGAGTAGCCTTTCACTGAGGGTCACTTAGCTGCGAACGGTGGACGCAAGTGAACAGCTCATGGTGGTCGTTGGCTTGTTCGCTGAGCTTGGCAATTTGATTGCAAACGTTTCATCACCAATCGAGGTGACATCATCAGTGCGTTATTGGGGAACGTAGTGTTGCGTAGCGGTGGGTTGGTGGTTGTGCTTGTGTTAATATACGCGCTGCTAGCAGGGGATGACCTTTGATCGTGGTTGGTTGTTCGGTCGGGCGATTCCATTGGTTGCTCCGTTGTCCTGTGCACATTTTGACATTTTACACCAAGTTCGCATGATCCCCCGCCTGGTGTTGTAATTCGCCATGATATGACTTGATTCCGCCACATGCTGGTGCGCTTTTCACATCATCTCGGGTTCGCACACCAAATCGCGAAGTCCAATAAACCATTTTCATGTGGTATGGCCCGTAAAGTACAGTTTGGCATTTTTATTCCGAGGAATGGTCACAATTCCATCTAGTTTTCACTTTACATTCGGGCATGACTTGACACCGAGTTTCGTTTGGACCAGGGGCCCGTTTTTGACGGCAACCGCTTTGTATTGATTACCAATAGTCCCTCCAACTTTGACGCGGTTAACAACAGTGTGGTGCTCGGCATCGAACCATCACAGAGGCCAGTGATTGAAGTAACTGTCAGCCGCCGGCTTATGCCCCGACAGACACATCGCTTTCATAATAATTCTCATTGAATTTATCGAATGGGAAGCAAACTCCCCCGTTTAGCGACAGAAAAAAACTTTCAATCTTGGCATTCGTGTTGAAGCGTACTACACGGTGTTTCGAAACTGACGTGTAAAAAAGTGAGACTGGATACCTGTCATATGATGACTTCTAACCTACATGTTTCTGGCAACGCGCCCCATCACTGGTCGATACGCGGGGAAAGTGGGAACAGTGTTCCAGGTAGTCAGCAAAAGAGGACCTGGGAACGGCGTCAATTGCCGAGGATGATCTTGGAAGCCTAGTGTGCAATAGAAGTCGCCTGGAATATGTTCTCTCTTTTATTCGGTCAGCTCAACTCAAGCGTTTTCTGTCGGTTACTTAATTCCCGATACGCCTTTCCGTTTTGACATACCACGGAGCTTTGGAGCCTGTAAAAACGACCCCAAGCGATACTTAAAAATGTTATCGTTAGTGTTGGCCCCACCTGCGTTTCAAACAGTTGGACGAATTAGTCTTCACATGTCGATTCGAAAGAGCACATAAACAACGAATGTTCCAGCCATAGAGTTGCCGTCAGCCTGCACGCGCGATGCGAATCCGACAGTATTGAAAACGGTTTGGTCCCAGTAGAGGAACGTCGGTTACATCTAGTGTTACTGCGCCGCCGTACATAACGCCGATGACTCTGTAGATGACACACTTCCGACTATACATTCTGGACCAAAATCAATAACTTTGCAGTTTTGAAGCAATGCACTTCGCATACGCCTGGGCTTCTGGAAGTTTAAAGCGGACAACCTGGATGTTTTAAAACAGTGCACCCTCTGCTGGTCTGTTCGCCGAGTTTGGCAGTTGGATTGCAAACGTTTCATCACCAATCGAGGTCACAGTGCGGAGGTGAGTGGGTCGCTGACGATGTCACCCAGATTGATGACGAAGCGTTCGCAACTGGTCTCTTATTTTTTTTAAACAAAAAACGGTTAGTTTTGCGCAAAAGATCGAATTTCATCGTAATCAAATGTAGTTTGGAAACAGTGGAAC